CCAGATCTGTTTGCTTTTGCTCAGGTGAGGTTGTTTCCGTGTTACCCTCACCTAAATTCTGTAATTGCTATTTGTCTTCACCTTTAACAGTTGAATCTGCAGTGGAATTGATGCTTCTAGATGTTTGTTGATCGCCTCTGATTTGGCATATTCCCCATGGGGATGGGAATTTAATAACTTGATGTAAAGTTGAAGGAACAACTTCCATGTCATGAATCCATGGCCTCCCAAGAAACATATTGTAAGCCATTTCCATATCTACCACTTGAAATTTGGTATCTTTAACGACGCCTTCTGCGAATGTGGTAAGTATTGCCTCCCCTATTGTTACAACACTAGAGTTATCAAATCCCGATAAAGTATGCGCCTTTGGGATTAATTTATCCTCCGCTTGCATCTCGCGCAATACCCGTATTAAAACAATGTTTACAGAACTACCTGGATCAACCAAAACTCATTTCACGTTAGTATCATGTACAAGTAAAGATATTACCAGTGCGTTGTTATGCGGAGTTATAAGTCCCTTGGCATCTGCGTTGTTGAATATAACATTTTCCTCTTCCAGTACATGTCGAGGCCGCTTCCCGTGGGTAATTGTCACTTTTGAAACCTTTTTATATGATACATCATTGATCTCTTCACCTCCGCTAATAACGTTGACAGTTCTCTTGGGCGAAGGTGGTTTCGGAGGCTCCTGTCTGTTCTTCATGTATGCTTGTTTACCTTTCTCACCGAACAACTCAGTAAGATACCCTTGTTTTAACAAATGATCAACTTCACCTTGTAGAAACCTGCAATCTGTTGTTTTATGCCCATGATCGTTATGAAATTCGCACCAATGATCAGGGTTTCGTCTGTTCAGATTTGATCGCATTTCCTTTGGCCATCGTACCTTATCTCCCATGCTCCTTAAAACAGCCACGAGTTCAGAGGTGCTTACATTGAAGTTGTAACCACCGAACCTTGCCTTTAGACTTCCATCATCGTCTCGTGACCCGCGTGTGTTTCGATCATTCCCGAACCTTGATGAGGAGCCTGATTCCCTGTTCCTAGGTTTGTGATCGTACCTTTGATTATCTTGCCTTGATCGTGATTCCTTTCCCGCAGGTCCCATGTATGGTTCGTACCTGTTTTTACCGGATCTCTTTTCATTTTCCACACGCCTAGAGCTTACCTTTTCTTCTGTTTTATGTCGTAAAATAATGTCTTCTTCAATCCTCATCTTTGTACTGTATCTGTTGTAGACATCATTCCACGTTGTTGCTGGGAATTCTCGAAGGCTTTCTTTGAGTCGCCTCGTGGCTTCTAAACTCTTCTCATTCAAATTACTAGCAAAGGCTATGGCTGCCCAATTGTCAGGTACTCGTGGCAGCGTCATTCTTTCCCGTTGAAATCTATCTACGAACTCTCTAAGTAACTCTGAGTCTCCTTGCTTGATTTTGAAGATATCTTCCATTCGTTTTTCAACTTTTTGAGCTCCCGAGTGTGCTTTGATAAATAAATCTGCAAGCTCAGCAAACGAATTTATAGAATTTTCGGGTAAAAGAGAATACCATGTTAAGGCTCCTTTAGTGAGTGTTTCACCGAATTTTTTGACCAAGACCGACTCAATTTCTTGCTTAGTCAAATCATTGCCCTTGACACCTGTTGTGAATGCAGTAACGTGATCTCGTGGATCTGATGTACCATCATACTTTGGAATATCAGGCATCTTAAACTTCTTTGGAATTGGGAGGGGAGCAGCACTTGGCTTCCATGGTTGTTGGGAATATTTATCTATATCCACTCCCTTGATCACGGGCGGTACTCCAGGTATTTGCTCTATGTGTTCATTTTGCTCCTTAAGCTGTTTCTGCAAGGTTAGTACTAGATTTTGTAAATCCGAGTTAACTGGATTACCTGGGTCTCTCTCTTGTGTTTCACTAGGGGTTCCACCACTGCCTGAATTAACCAATCCTGAACGAGGATTCTCCAAAGTGTTGTTGTTTGGAGTAGATGTGGGTGGAACAGGAGGTAATTGGCTAACAAAAGCTTGAAGAGCGTTATTGACTTGAGAGGCAATAAGTTTTTGCAGAGCCTCATTCATGGTTTCAACATTTTCGAATTGAGCCTGTCCATCTGTGTGAGATCCATCAGGAGTGCCTTCACGAGACCGTCGTGGGGAGCGTCGTGGAGAACCTTGTGGAGAGCCTTGTGGGGAATCTCCCTGAAGTTGTTGGATTGTCTGAATTTCTGGGTTTCCTTGAGTGTTGTCATTGTTGTTCGACATGATTGATGCAATCAAGAAAATTAGGTTGAGATATGCTTGATTATCAGATTCCCCATAACTGAACCAATTTGTTTAACCAGAAATTAGATTTTAGGTCAAAGCTTGAATTTAGAAGAACTCGGGTTACTGATAATCGGAAAAGTATATAAGAAAGAGATTTTGAATGATATAATCAGAAAGCAAAAAGAACAAAGTTTTTCAGTAATATTTTGTCGTGTCCTACAGTTGTTGTGACTTTCTCCTTTTATAGTTAATTTTAAGAGAAAGTGTAATGCCTTTGTCTTAATGAGGCAATTACGAGCAATAAATGACATTAAAAGAAACGTTACTCAATCATTCATATTAAATACAAATTCTCTAACGTATTTGGCATTTAATACTGAATTTGGACTCTTTTTTCTATCAGATTCATGTCTTCAATTCCTTCTGATCTTCGAGCTTTAAATGACTCGAACAGGTACGAGTCTCGTTTTATTTGAATAATAGCTCGTGCCTTTAAGTATCTTCTCTTCCGCTTCTGTTGTTGCTCGTGCCTTCTAACTGATTACCACACTTTGACTATTTGACCGGTCCACGTGTTATGACACGTCATCTTCAATATTTAAATTCAGTTTTTTCCCAATACAAAGCGTAGATTAACTAACCAACTACCCTATGTTATTGATAAATTTGTTCAGTATACCTTTGACTATCCATTTAACAGAATCAATTTTCTTTACTGCTATTGATATGATACTAAGATGTAGGGCCACTTGTTGCTACCTTCTGTATCAAAAACATATAAAATAACCTAGTCTAGATAACTTATACGACGGAATCTACTCCATAGAAGCTTACATATTAGTTTGCTCATTAAATAATTCGCATAAGATTCTGTAATAAGCCGAATAAAGATCGGGGGATCATAATATTTTTCTTTCGTCCATTATTTTATTGCAAGGGCATATTTTAATCATCTATTTCAAGATTAATGTGAAATAAGTAGAAATAAGTAAAAAAAGAGCTAAAACGATGAACAAATTAAATGGGTAAGATTAAGAATGTGGTAAATTTACTGATTTTACCATCCTCAAAACCATTCATCACATAAAGATTTTTAGACTAAATTTTATGGATGGTCATTCAACTTTCGGTTCATTATTCAAAAGTTATTTTTCTTTCCTTTGTTACATAAAAGTCATTCAAGTTTGTGTTCATTATCCAAAAGTCATTTTCTTTCTTTTGTTAGACAAAAATTATTTTACTATGCTCTAGTTATCACAATAGTCACTTTGACAAAAAATTACAAGTCTTTCACCTGAAAGTTTATTATGCCCTTGACATTATAAATTCTCCTATTTATATAAAAATATATTTTAATTTTCAACAATTTGCCCTTATTTACATATTTCAATGTGTTAAAGTAACAACTAATTAAGGTTAATTTAGAGAATACATCTTTTTTTCTTTCTAGAAGTTCGTATTTTCTTAATGAGTTGCTAAAGATAAAAGTGTCACTTGTTGTGGACCGAAGGGAGTAGTATATAATATAAAACGTATTACATAAATGAGAAAATTTATAATGTCAAGGGCATAATAAGCTTTTCAGGTAAAAGTATTATAAAATCTGGCCAAGGTGACTTTTGTGATAGATAGAGCAAAGTAAAATGATTTTTGTGTAACAAAAGAAATAAAAATGGCTTTTGGGTAATGAACACAAAGTTGAATGATTTTAAGTAATAAAAATAAGAAAAGTGACTTTTATGTAACGAGCACAAAGTTGAATAACCACCCATGAATCTCAGATTTTGATGGTAGAGTGACTAAAGTATAGCTGATAAGACTACACTGTCAAACACTCAATTCGAGTCAAAGGGGAACCAATATACAACTCTAAATGTTACTCCCTATCTTCTAATTTTTGTGAACATGTTTGATTGGGCACGAGGTTTAAGAAAAAATAAAGACTTTTGAAATTTGTAGTCCTAACATGTCAAAAATGTACAGAGTATTAGTGTCGTTATAAAAGCTTCTTATTAAAGGTAGAATTGGAAGTTTAAGCAAAATTATTTTCAAATTTAAAAAGGGGTCATTCTTTTAGAAACGATAAAAAAAGAAATAGGTTCACGTAAACTGGAACTAAGGAGTAATGTTACTATAATGTATGCATAGGTCGTACCTTAATGATGTAGAAAGTTTTACTTCTAGTTTATAGTAGTACTCCCTCCGTTCCAATTTATGTGAACCCGTTTGACTGAGCACAGAGCTTAAGAAAATGAAACTTTTGGAATTTGTGGTCCTAAATAAGTCAAAAAGGCATCCAGAGTGATTGTGTGGTTATAAAAACTTTTCATTAAGGGTAGAATTGTAAGTTTAAGCTTAATTATTTCCAAATTTAAAAAAGGATAATTATTTTTTAAACGGATCAAAAATGAAATAGTTTCACGTAAACTAGAACAGAGGGAGTACCAATTAATGGTGTAAATACCGAAGGTGTAAATAAGAAGAAGAAGAAGAAAAAATTAGTAACAAAGAAAAAAAAACGTTGAGATAATGATGCTCTGCGGGCCTCAAAAAGAGAAGATGGGCCAAATGCTAAACCGTTGGATAGTACCCTGTTCATCTTCATGCAGAATTTGTTTGTAAATTTGTAGTTCTTATTTATATACAGAATTCCACGTACCGAAAACCATATGGTAATTAAAATTGACCAAAAACAAAACGAAATGAAGAAAATTGAAGACAAATACAATGGAGATCTAATACATGAAACTGTATTGTAAGATTTCCAGTTCCTTCTAAAACAGTAGCGCAATTGTTATTTCATTATATTCATATCCATAAGAAATGAAACTAATTTTTTTATTTACTTGTTTGAAGTTCCTTCATACAATACTCAATACTGCCTTTAATATTCTGAATACTCAAAAATAGAAACTTAAAAAATAAATAAATAAATAAATAAATAAATAAATAAATGAAAACTCAACCTCTGTACATAGGCGACCGTTCGTTAACCAATTTAGAAGCCTTCGATTGACGGAAGACTTTCATTGGACTTGGAAAATGCCATCCTTTCGACTTCGACGGCGACTCACCGGCGCCGGAAACTGACGTTATCGCCACACTCATTGATCTTGATCTATTCATCATCCTCGCAAAATCATCAATTCTACTATCACTTAATTCGTTAATAACATTGACATGATGAATATTCGCTTTTCCTTTCAATCCTTCCTTCTCTGATTCTCCGCTTCTCTTACTCTTACTCAACTTAAAAACCGACCAGAACGACGGCGTTTTGTTAATCTTGTCGTTACAAATCGGCGGCTGATTTCTCCGGGCGGCAGAGATTTTGTCTCGTGATCGGAGGAAAGGAATTCCGACGGATTTTGATCTCTGAAACGCCGGCTCACTTTCTATAAGCTTCGAAACTCGTGCGACGGAGCAAATTCCTTCGCAACCACCACCTCCTCCTCCTCCGCCGCCGCCGCTACGACCGGAGGATGAGGAGAAGAGAGAAAACGAAGAGGAAGCGGAGGAAGACGACGACGACGCAGAGGCGTAGCATGCACAGGGGCGTACATTAGCACAGTCAGGGCAAAGAATGACGAGCCTGTCCTTGAGACAAACCGGGCAAACTCCATTCCTCCGTCGCTTCGAAGGGTGTTTGGGACATCTCCACACTTCTTCTTCATCTAAATAAAACGTCATCTTAATAAGCTCTGAATTTCTCTCTATTCTTGATAACTTAGTTCTTTCTTCTTCTTGTTTGCTCTATTTTAGATTGTTTATAAAGGCTTCTTAAAAAGGGGGAGACAATAACTTAACCATGGTTAAGCTTAGTCCAGGATAAGACACAACCACGGATAACAAAACTTTTCGGACAAATGTTGGTAGACCAAACAACGTGTTTTACCCTAGTAAATAACTAAGATATTAACTCTCCCCATAATGGTGGAAATTATTTACCAGAATGCCAAATTATTTAATGTGAGTAATAGTAAATAGTCATGCATTTCATATACAGGATTTGACTAATATGGTAAGTTGGTAACGAATTGTGGGCTCCCGAAAGCCGAAAGACTTTAGTATGGGTTTTATAGTATAAACCGGGAAAAGGAGAGGTCTTATTTTGGGGTTTGGTCGTGTGGATGCTTGTTTGACCTTTGGATTATTGTAAATAATAAAGTTTAAAAAAGACATATTGAGTTATTCGTATTGGGTTTAATTTAGTTTTAGCACTAAAATAGTTATACCATCAACTTATCCATAAAATGATCATAGAGAATTTTTTTATGATAATCATTAGCTGATAACCCAATAAAAATAGTAATTAACTAATCTGCTACAACAATGATATTCTTGAATAATCTCTAAACTGTTTATATATAACTTAATTCCAACGCATAAAATATTGAATTTACTATTCAAAAGAGCATCTCAAGAAAATGACACTGCTATTAATAAGGAGTCAATAATTTTTTTCATCATGATTACATTTTTTGAATATGTAAATTATATTTCAAATAGAATGGGAAGAAAAAAATTAAGAAATTCTCAGCAAAATCTCGAATCTCGTTATTTCCTTTGAAGCGAAAGTAATATTGATTAACTATTGTTTTATTTTGCTTTTTATCTTGGTGCCAAACACTCCTAACTTTGTTTCAAAACTATCAAATCTGAGATATGATGATGGATGATGGTAGAACTTAACTTGTACGACTGGTGTTTGATATTGGAATGACATTGCTTGGAAAATGACAATTACTGAAGTAGCAAGAGAAAAAGTGTAAATCAAAAATGATAGGAATGGACGTGGTAGAGACCGGGGCGGATCTACACTATAAATTGGAGTTCACGTGAACCCATGGTCTTCCCGCAAATCAATTTTACCATATACATAATTTGCAGAAATCGTCTAGTATTATCTTTGGGAACCCATGCTTTATAAAACTAAGTGGTTCACTGGTTGGATGGTTGTTTAGTTTTGCCAAGGATAACTCTTTCAACTTTTTTCTAATATTAATTATTCTCCGGGTAGGGGTAAGGTCTACGTACACTCTATCCTCCCCAGACCCTACTCGTGAGATTTTACTGGATTGTTGTTATTGTTGTTGTCCCTATTCCCAAATTCTGCGAATCTCAATCCCAATTGCTATCTCTTAAGTGATTATCTCTTTGCTCTTTTTTGCTTCTTAGAATTTAGTTGCTAAACATCAAAGAATTTTGAATTATTAGCTTAGTTTCTTAAGGAATATTTTAGTTGTGGTTCGCAAATTATTGACTGAACATTAAATTACACTATGACTTGCTTAAATATTTTTGTTTCAACAAAATTGTTAAAGTTTCACCTATAATTTTTTATTACAACATATAGTTTATTTTTGTAAGTAATTCATATATAAATAATTAGTCATATGTTAAGATTCTTTGATGTTCTTTGTGCTTCTTTTTGCAGTAAAATTTGCACAATTTTAATTCTTACAGTATTAAATTTTCATTAGTATTTCATTTTTCCTCTTTGTTTTGAATTTGATGGTACACTACTAGAAATCCGGAAATTAGCGACCAAACTTTTGCGACCAAAATTGGTCTGTCCAGATAAGCGACCAAAGTTGGTCGATAAAGGGGAGAAAATATTTTATATTTATTTTAAATAAATTACCGACCAAAGTTGGTCGGTAATGTGGTCAACAGGTTGACCGAGCTGGTCGGACTTATGTATTCAAAGAAAATTTCACATTACCGGCCAACTTTGATCGGTAATGTGGGATCCAGCTATAAAATTTTAATAGTTATATTATTATTTAAAATATTTTATAATATAATGAAATCTTATTTAAAATTACCGACCAAAGTTGGTCTGTTAATACAGGGGAAGCATTTACCGACCAACTTTGGTCGGTTATTAGGTCAACATTGGTCAAAATTTAAATCACTTTTATATTTACTATCTAAATAATATTAATGTCATCCGTTAACACTTTTGTAATACAAGGGATGAATACACTAACATATGCTATAACATGCTATATATGTAGTTAAAATAGTACAACGAAGCGTGTTATATATATATATATAGGTGAGACGTTTCGTTTTTAATATTCAACGATGCATCTAAGTAAGTTATAAGTCGATCAATCAATTTACTAACAGATATATTTGATGATAAATTATATATACTAATTAGGATCTTCACAGGTCTTTCAATCCCTAAAAGAACCCGACCCTTATCTATATAGATATAGATATAGGTCAGACCTTTTGTTTTTAATATTCAACGATGCATCTGAGTAAGTTATAAGTCGTTGAATATTAAAAACAAAAGGTCTGACCTATATCTATATCTATATAGATAAGGGTCGGGTTCTTTTAGGGATTGATAGACTTGTGAAGATCCTAATTAGTATATATAATTTATCATCAAATATATCTATTTGGAAATTGATTCATCGACTTATAACTTACTCAGATGCATCGTTGAATATTAAAAACAAAACGTCTGACCTATATCTATATCTATATAGATTAATAGTAAAAACAAAACGTCTCGGCCTATAACGAAGTGTGTGTGTGTGTGTGTTATATGTATACACACACTAACATATACTATAATAAGCTATATATATAGTTAAAGTATTACAATGAGGTGGCTGTGTGTATGTGTGTGTGTACACACACACACACACACCACACACACACACACACACACACACACACATATATATATATATATACTTTGATAGCCGTATATATATAAGAACATGAACCTAGGAAAAGGGTCGGTTCTTTTAGGGATTGATAGACTTCAAATTGATTCATCGACTTAATATCTTATTTATATGGCATCGATGAATATTAAAAACAAACGTTTTGACCTATTCATCTAATAAAAAAACAAAACGTCTCGACGTAAAATAAGAATTAATATTATATTGGTTTATCAATTGATTAATTATTCGTACGTACGTAGTAACGTATAAGATTGATCATCAATTACAATATAGTTTATGTGTGTATGTGAAATTACTCATATACTTAAATATAACTTAAAAATTTACTTACATAGATGCTATTATAATCTATTAAAAGTAATTATCTAGTTAATATAATTTTTTGTAAAGATTATGCTTATAGTATATAATTATTTATAATAATTGTAGTTAAATAAAATAAATGCTTATAGTTAATAATAATTTTTTATAGCTTATAATATGTTAAAAAATATAAACAAAAAAAAAAAAGAATTTAGTTTGTTTTTTTTAAGAAAACGGACCAAAGTTGGTCGGTATTTGGTCAAACGGTCAACACTTAATGTGCCGACCGAATTACCGACCAACTTTGGTCGATAATTCTGAAAATCAGAAAGAAATACGGGTTTTCGCCCCATTTCTCTTATTTTCTTCCCCAAAATTTCCCTACCTCCTCCCACAATACCTTCCCCTTCCCTTCTCTATTTCCCTCACACAAATTCTATTCCCCACCCGGTGTAGCCACCGCCCGTCGCCGTCGCCGGAGCTGCCGCCGCTGCCACTGATTTTGGGACTGCCGCCCCTCTCCTTCTCCACCTAAAAATTCTAGGTTTGAATTACGACCAATTTCTTTGTTATTTCTAGTTTTTGTTTCAATTATTTGAACATTGTATTATTGTTTCAATTAGTGTTTCAATTCTTTGAACATTGTATTTTATTAAGGACTAGGGTTTAGGTGTTGTTTTAATTAGTTTTGTTTATTAATTTTATTAACTAATTAGTTTAATTAGTCTTGAATAGTTTAGTACGATTGGAATTATACTTTGTATAGTCTTGAATAGTTTAGTTAGAATCTAGGGTTTAGTAGTAGTACTTGAAATTTTAGTTTATGAATTGGACCTTTTGGATAAGAATTGAATTTTTAGTTTATGAATTAAACTTTTTGGATATGAACTTTTAGTTTATAAATTGAACTTTTAGTTTATAAATTTAAATTTTAGGATATGAATTGAACTTTTAGGATTTGTAGTTGAATTTTCAGTTTATGAATTGGACCTTTTGGATATGAATTGGATCTTTTGGATATGAATTAGACCTTTTGGATATGAATTGAATTTTTAGTTTATAAATTGAAATATTTGGATATGAATTGAACTTTTAGTTTATAAATTAAAATTTTAGGATATGAATTGAACTTTTAGGATATGAATTGAAATTTTAGGATATGAATTGAACTTTTAGGATTTGTAGTTGAATTTTTAGTTTATGAATTGGACCTTTTGGGTATGAATTGAATTTTTAGTTTATAAATAGAAATATTTGGATCTGAATTGAACTTTTAGTTTATGAATTGAACTTTTTAGCTTATAAATTGAAATTTTAGGATATGAATTGAACTTTTAGGATATGAATTGGACTTTTAGTTTGTAAATTGAACTTTTAGTTTATAAATTGAAATTTTAGGATATGAATTGAACTTTTAGGATATTAATTAACTAAAAAAAGATTATGATATGAATTAACTAAATTAATTTGTTCTTGTTTTATTTGTATATATGGAACATCCTACTTGGATGTACAATAGGAATTATTCTAATCGGCGGGGATTGCGGGAGGATTTTGTAGAAGGGGTTGATGACTTTATTAGACATGCAATGTCACTTCCACCATACTAAAGTGAAGGAGTAATTAGGTGCCCTTGTGTTAGGTGCGACTGTATGAAGTTTGGAAAACTGGAGGAAGTTAAGCATCATCTTTATAGGAAGGAGTTTATAGAGAATTACTTTGTGT